CATATACAAAACTAATACTTTCCATTATAGCATCCTACTTTTTTTCATTTTTTTCATATCATTATAGCATCCAAATTGCATACAAACACACAAACTACATACATAATTTCTATATATATATATATATATATATATATATATATATATATATATATATAATAAAATAAATACACATTCCATTATAGCATCCTACTTTATTTTTTTTTCATACATAAATACACACATTATACATACAAATACACACAATTACACATATAATAAAATAAATACACATTCTATATATACAAAATGGTAAAAAAATGATTATAATACTTTTTGTGGATCATTTTCTTCATGCTACAAATATAATTAACCAAAATAAATTCTTCTTCTTGTAATTAACCAAATATAATTAACTAAAACAAATGCAAACTATAACCTTTATAAGTCATACATGTATAAAATACATTCAATTCCAATTTCCATTTCATTTTAGACATAGAATACAACTTGCATATTCCAATTTCATACAATTAAACATACAATTTCAAACAAATGTGTACATCTAATTTCAAACAAATGCATACATCCAATTTCAATTTCATACAAATATATACAACTAAATACAAAATCAAACAAATATATACATACATCCAATTTCAATTTCATGCCAAATTTCATTTTTAAGCCAATGTGATATAAGAATAAATAAGAAAATCATATACAAAATGCATAATCACTTCCCACAAATCTGAAAAAACATATATAATCCTACAAAATGCATAAACACTTCCATACCTCAAAATACAAAGATAATCACTCAACAAAATTGAAGAATACTACCGATTTATCACCCAAATTAGCACCAAAACAGAAAAATAATAGAAAATAGGGAGGAATTCGATCTTCAATGTCAAAATTTCGAAATTGGAGCTATAGGACGCCGATAAACGATCTCTAGGTCGCCGGAATGGAGGTGGTAGGCGGTGTGGCGGTCTTGTGGCGACAGGAGCGGCTGGGGAAGATGGCCGCTTGCGTCGCCAGATTGTAATTTTGTCGCCGGTTTTCACAGTGAGAGATGCACACACAAGAAAGGAATGACACAGAAAAGGAAGCTGATGGGGGGTTATCTGTAAAGGCCTTTAGCGGCGACGAGCAATAGCGGCGACGCCAAGGTATTAGCGGCGACACCTTGGAGGGAAAAAACAACGCGTTTTTTCGACCTTTGGATTGAAAACAAATGGGACGGATGGGGCTCGTTTGACGCGGATCGTTATTATGTTAGCATTAGCGGCGACGCCTTTAGCGGCGATGCGTGGCATTAGCGGCGACATGTAAGGCGTCAATTACATGTTGTCGCTAATACTCTGCGTCACCGCTAAAGGCGTTGCCGCTAATGCCAACATTTCTTGTAGTGTAGTTAGATAGCTTCATCATTTCATGTTCTTATTTTAGTCGTCCATTCACCACAACCACAGTTTCAATTGAAATGTTACATAACATTTTTTTTGTCATTTTTACAAAATAATAATAATAATAATAATAATAATAATAATAATAATAATAATAATAATAATAATAATAATTATTATTATTATTATTATTATTATTATTATTATTATTATTATTATTATTATTATTATCAAAGTCTTAATGATAATGCTATGTTTGGCGCACCACAGCTAAGTTGTCGTGTTTGGCAAGCCAAAAAGTAACTTATAAACTAGCGTTTTAAAAAGCTACTTAGACTAGTTTTTTAAAAGTATTTTTTTCTAAATTTCCAAATATACTCCTTAATTAATTAAGAAAATATATTTGTTAAATGCCTTGTTATGTCATTATATAAATTTCAGATAGCTTATAAGTCAGTGACAGAGCCAGGGTCAACGTAAAAGAGTATCCCTAACAAGTAATGCGGTATCCCCGATAAGTAATGGTGTATCGGGGATACCCCATTGGCAGAGCCATTACTTATCGGGGATACCCCATTACTTTTCCGAGATACTCTTTTACTTTGAACCTAACTTCGATACTAGCTTATAAGCTATCTGAAATTTATATAATGACATAAAAATGCATTTAAAAAATATGCTTTCTTAATTAATTAAGGTGTATATTTGGAAATTAAAAAAAAAAAAACTTTTAAAAAACTAGTTTAAGTAGTTTTTTAAAACGGTAGTTTATAAGCTACTTTTTGGCTTACCAAACATGACAACTTAAAAAAACTTAAAAAATATTGAAAATAAAGTAGTTTATCAGCTAGCTTTGGCGCACCAAACATAGCCTTAATCATTAAGACTTTAACTATTATTAGTTTTTTTTTTCTTTTTTTTTTTAAATGACAAAAATTTGTTATGTAACCTTTCAATTGAAACTGTGGTTGTGGTGAATGGGCGACTAAAATGAGAAGATGAAATGATGAAGTCATCTTACTAGATACTAATATAAATTGTAAAAGAGTTAGATGAAATAAAAATATTAAAAATAAGATCTAATGTGGACAAAATTAAAACTTTATTATCCTTCTTTAAATGGTTATAACAACCATGTTAGTGTAATATATATATAATAAAAGATCTTATGGACCTAATGTGGAAAAAATTAAAATCTTATTATCTTTTTTAAACGGTTATAACAACGAAGTTGGTGTAATATGTATCAAAAAAAATAATAAAATAAAACTTAAGGACCTTATGTGAACAAAGTTAAAATTTATTACCCTCCTAGAGCATTAACCCTTAATTTAGTCACCAGTGAGTTATTTTAATGGGTTAGTTTAATGTTTCAATATTTGGGTCTTTTTTTAATTTTTTAAATCTAATGTATTAACTATTATTTAAGAGAAAACATGTATGTCTTACTGTAAAGTTAATATTGGAACTAACGAACTGTTAAATTGTACCGAGTCCTATAAAATTGCCTTAATTTAGAAGAAGTAAATACACTTATTTGTTTTACGTCATTTTGCAGCTAGGGATTACGAATGCGGGCTATTATTTGTACTCTGTCATTCACGTAAAAAATCAAATCATTAGGGTACATACTTGTCCACTCATACAAAGGGTACACGAAACGATTGAGGGTGCGTATGAAATTAGTCTTATTTACCACCAATGAAAAGATAAAGATGAGACTAGTTGGGTTTTTATGTTTGTTTGTTTTTTTAGCAATCACTTTTTTGTTAGTAAAATCTTTAAAATGTATTTTTAAATATGAATTTTGATAATTGTATAATCAATTTCGTTTAGTTTTCTTTGTGTGTAGCCACAAGGATCAACGCCCGTATGCTAAATATAAAATTGATTTTTTTTCTATTTTCAAACACAATTTTCGTTTCATGTTTGAAACAAAATGATATTGTCTTTGTAGATTTGTGTTTTCCTCCGTGATACCTTTAGATTGATAGGTTAACCGGACAATAGATTAATGAGAAATTAATCCTATCAATGTATAGTTTTTTGAATGGTTGTTTGAATAAACACATAAATCAAACATTTTTGTGTTAAACTGAATTAAAATCAGTAATTAAACAAAATTTCAGTTACAATTAATATTGATTTAATTCGGTAATTAGGTCGTCGGTTTCATAATTACCATAAATTGTTATTATGGTGACCATTACAAGCTACAGTATAAATAAAATATTCTTTTAGGCGGTGTGGGGTATGCAATCAAATTGATTGGGAGTGAAAATTTAATTTAATCAAAATTAAAGAACATACCATTGTTTTAATGGACACAAAATTAATATAAAACTTTTTTAAGCGGATAATATATTTTTTTATAGTTTCTATTTATTTTATACAAAATTTAGTATATAAAAGTAGCGTATTGTTTTGTAGTTGTACGGCATTCTAGAATGTATCTTTTCTTTTTAAATATCTTGATGGTCTTGTTATAACTTATTTACAAAGCTATATTTTTCAGATTCGTGTTTACAATTCTTCATATGTCACCTATATTAAGTTTTCTTTCAATCGCACCGATCATTTGATTTCGTGCATTTATAAAGAGCTTATAATCTTTTTACGGTTTTTGGTTATCATTTTTATTGCTCTATTATGTATTATTGGTTAAAAAATTTTGAGCTGCACGATTGAACTTTATTTTCTCACCGATCATGGGTGGATGGACAATATTGACTCCTCCCATAATCGGTATTTACAACATCATACATCACTACCATTTTCATGGCAATTCACCATACTCCATCTTCTCGTTATAACCATGGGGTGTTGAGAAAGGCAAAGTGAAAACTTGCATAAGATCCAACTTTTTTATTATATATATATATATATATATAAACTTTTAATAACGATAAAGGTCTTTTTATCTAACTCGTCCTGACCTTTGAGGATACTTAACTCCTGAGGACCGGCCCAGTATAACCAAGGAATGACTATGAGTGTTGGTTGTTGCTTAATGGTATCGTCCTTTTCGTAGCTGGAGCACTACTCTTCTTTTTTATTAAATGTCTCTTGTATATACCATTCTGTCTATATGAGATGTTGAATAACAAATGGTAATTTATTTGAAAACTCTTATGTTTAAAAGAATTGTATATTCAACTTTCACTTGGCTACGATTTATTTATTTATTTATTTTGCTGTCAATTTTTTATGACTATCGTAAGCTACGGGTTAGTCAAAGTCAATGAACTGAATACAAGTAAAACATCAAAAAAATTAGAGTGAATTTAATGGAAACATATAGGGAAAGGGTGGAGTTGTTCATTAAGGCATTTGCATTGTATCCCATATGGTTTAGATGGTTTAGCATTGTACTTCAAAAAAAAATTATTATACTTGGAAAGTTATCTAATTGCAACAGTGAAATTTAACCCGACCAAATAGACCCATTACCCGTATGATACGTACTTAAATTTTTAGAAATATGTAATGACTGATCATAGTGCTCCATGTCCATATAAGGTACTTAAATCTTTCCAGACACTTTCTGTAAAAAAAATGTAAGCATGACACTTACATTGCCTAGATGGGTAAAAATAGTAAAATACATTTCTATTTTCTGTATTTTACACTCTCTTTTATGCTTTTAACAGTGGCTACCGGTGGAACAAGCAACGGCCATCTAGGTAGCACAAACGGGATACCAAGAGATGATGAAATGCATTGACGGAAGTCAATCGGTTTAGAAGCAAAATCCAGCCTTCTATTCAGAATATTATACGAAACAATACGCTCAGGATCCATGCAAATCAAATACACAACATTTGGATTCAACGGATGAAACGATAAAGGACGAAACCATCGGTACCGAAACAACCAATTACTCAATTCCAAATCGTTAGAATGAAGATCGCTTTGTCTCACCTTAAACTCACAACACCATTCTCCTTTCTTATAATCCTTCATAGCCCACATGGTGAACAAATAGAAATGGGTGGTATATTCGGATACCTCGAAATAACGAAGGGTCCCTTGGCTCTCACCACATAATTGTAAACCTCCCAGGTTGTCACGCTCACTCTGGAGATCTCTGTCATCTGGGAGTGGAATTAGGCGAACAGATTTTGGATCTTTGTAAGGATCAAATGCAAGCATGCCATAAATCCCCTCATCATACCTAACTAACCAATGGAGAGCCCCGTAACAATAGATTGCGCCATCGGCCAGTTCCCACAATCGGATAGGGCAAGGTAGCTTGTAGACGATCCATTTGCCCGTTTCGGATGAAAACATCTCTAAACAAAGATAATTCGATCGAGGTTTTTGAAGTTCCACCATAACAATTGTATAACCAATAAGCATATGATCTTCATTGACCCTAGTAATAAGACCATCACCAATGAAACCTATGGATCGGGGTCTCCTGCTAGGCAAAGTGATCCATTGTCGAGTGAGTGGATCACAGATGTAGTAAACAAATGTTGGCGACCACGAACAACACAGAATCAAACCATTACTCATAGCTAAAACCCTAAATTGATCATTTGCACGGTGTTGTTCTTCAGGGGTAGAAAGAAAAAGAACGACGAACTGTGGATTTCAGTACCAAGACGAATAACAAACTCCTTGAAGTTCGGTAGCCGAGCGTACCTATCCAAGATTCTGAGAGGCCGCGAGGACGAATTGAGAATGGAGTAATAGAATCGGCAGAAGGATGGGTGAGAAATTAGGGTTTGCCAATGCTTGCACACACTTTTAAAACTAAAAATAGATTTCACGGGTAATCTAGCGAGAATTTCAATAAGCAGCGAATCAGGAAAGTTTCGAAAATCATACCAAAACAATTGTTTGCTCTTGCACGAAATATAGGTAAGCAGAAGTTGCTGCACAATTCGGTTTTCATCGCCATCATCGTTAAATTGATTTCTTGAATTGCTGTTATCGTCGTCCTCCATGAACCGCAATTTCTCCGGTAATTTTCGTATGGTTAAAAGTGAATTCAGCGAGACAAGACTAAAGTTGATTTAATGGGTTAGTCTAATGTTTCAATATTTGTTTTTTTTTTTTTTTTTTTTTTTTTTTTTTTTTTTTTAAAACAAATCGTTTGTGATAAAACAAATTTTTTTTCTACTTTTCATTTTCATATTTATTTCGCCGGCATCTAATTTTTTTGGTTATTTTCATATAAATATTTTCTACATAACATTGTGATTTTTTTCATTTTATTAATTGATTTTTTTAATTTTATTAATTAGGACGATATATATGGATGCAATGTATGCTTGTTATATTGATAATAAAAATGAGGGCACGCAAAACAGAAAATGTGTCATAAGGAAATCAAACTAGGACCTCCACAGAAAACCTGCAACGCTATAACGACTAAGCCAATAATACTTTGATGTAGTATTTTTCTAAACACAATATAGATAGTATAGCTAGATAGTATATCGTCTATTTATTTATTAGAATGAACAATTTTATTTTATGAAGTTTGTGAGGAGTACATTCCTGCTTTCTTATTTCATTATTTAATAAAACAATTTCAAAACACACCCTTATATAATAAAACAATTTCAAAATATGCCCTTAACCTTTTAGATTTTTAATTTAAACTTCAATTAAATTATTATTTATTTAAAATTTATAAATAAAAAAAATATGTTTGTAGTATTAAGGTTTCGGATGTTTTAATGTTCAATTTTTGTTTAAGAATCTTATGTTTTATCGACAATGAAGATGACTACTATAAAGATGACAAATTCATTATAAAATAAATATTTACATACAATCTAAATTTTATTTTTTGTAAGTGGACACAACATTTTATTTTTCATAGGTGACGTCAAATGTTAAAAATAAAAATATGTTTAAGGAAGAATTTTACGCATATGCTACTCTTAACCTTTTTTTTTTGAATAGTTCACAAACTATTTTAAATTTCACATTAGAATTTGTATCAAGTAAATGAAAATTTGACAAATATACTGGGTCTAACGGCATGATGAAATATCATTCTTCTTTAATGTTAAGATTTAAGTATTATATGCGATATATGTAGAATTAGTGATTAATTTTAGAAGAATATTAAAATGTATGTGCGTACCCGTTCTAAAAAATATGAAAATGTGATGTTTCAAGTTTCAACCTTAGACAATATTTTATTTATTACGTTCGAGAAAATTAACTATTTTTGTATTATTTTATAGTTGCTACAAATCAACATGGTCTACTGGATGGGAAACATATTATGTTGCTTGACTGAATTCCTATATTTATCCATTGGTACCACACAATAAATTGTAATTATTATACATTTGAATTATCTGATGACAGATACAATTAAATTTATGCCTTATTATGTATCGTAATTGAGATCTCAATAAAATAAAATAAAAGTAACATATGAAAGCGTCCTATTTGTTATATCAATAAGTCACTTAGGTCCGCACTTATGTAGACAAAAACAAATTGATGCATTTGTATTCATCTTTCATCTATCCTAATTAATAAAACTCATTGCTGCCACTTGTTAATTTCTCCCTCATTAATCTGTGTTTTTCAATTATTTAGAAAAATGTCACCTAAGTAATATTTTTATATAATCAGTTAAACATTCCTTAATTTTTGCCGGTATTTTGTATTTTCGAATGCCTTTCAATTTTACACCTAATTCATTGAATTCGAATAAATGTCAGTGTATAATATATGGAATGTTGACTGTTATAGCGATTTTTTTAGTATCTCATCAAATTTTGAATTTTGTTTTCTTCTAATCATGGAATATTGTATCTCTTTTAATTATATGAATTCTTAATTCCATTCGGTGTTAATACCAAGCTCTTAAAAATCAACATTAAAATACCAAGTACCACAACATGTTAGTAATTTCATTCATTGTTATATCCTTTCAATCGATTTTTTTAATTTACAAATTGATGTGAAATGTTCTGTAAACTTAGATTTATATGGATGAAAGTTTAGAAATGAAAGTAAAATGTCATTTTGTGATACACATGAAAGTATGTTGTTATTAAGGGATAAAAGTGCAAATATGATGTCATGTCCATCTTCTATCCTAATAAATAAGAATCTTTTACTGCCACTTGTGTTGTAATAAAATTGAAAATTACCAACAAAGTATTACATTAAAAATTGCTTAATGTTACAACTTGATATTATTTTTTTAAAAACCTGTGTAAGATTGATTTCCCCTTATGGACAGTTCACTTTGTGTTGTTCGGATTCTGGCCATACTATTTTAGGATTTGCCAGGTTTAGTCCCTCCACTGATCTTCCAATTAGATGCAAACAAAAAACTGATCCATCTCCTCAATAACTCGATAACTTTAATCCTCTTCTTGATCTTTACAGTCATTGTTTCTTTTTAATCGGTGACTTTCTCTTGCCAGCGACAATGGATTCACTCTGCTCTCCACCGCCTTCTCCACCAAGGTCTGGTCTCATGTGTTTACCAATGGACCAGAGAAGCGCTCCACCAGAGTTTAATCTGTGTCGTCGTGATGCATCAATATATAGCCTTCGATTTTGGGATGGAATTGTTTAATTGTGTCTTCCTGCTCCAAAATGGCTTCTTCATTTACCCACTTCATCTTCTTCTGACTTCAGTTGCTTCTGATTCCATTCGCTGTCGGCATCGGAGGGAGAAGAAGGCAGGCTAACGTTACCACACCCAAATGCCTATGTCATTAAACAACTGAAATCATCGATGGTTACGCATGGTGGGAGAACTAGACTTTTGGGTACAAGCCATTATAGGCATCCATTCCTGTTTTGGGAGAACCAACATTCGATTTTGGAGGTTTTCCTGTTTTGGTCAACTCCTCTTTCCACCGCCCCTGTTGGCCAATACTGTTGGATTAAGGTGTCTAAGACAATAACTAAATTGGTATATTCTTGAACTAGAAGCAAAGTCCTTTTTGGATTGCCCTCAAAACTAGTAATTAATTAGAATGACAGTTGGGGATAAAGGATAATTTGTGAGTTTATTATATGAATAATAAACTAATTGGAAATTGAAATATATGATTTATTAATATAATATATGATCAATATATTAATTGGATAAAGTAATGGTTAATTGATTAATTAGAACTGATTTGGATCTAATTCTAAGATTAATTAGAATTAATCATTCAAAGGACTCTTTGGTTTCCATAGGAGTTTCCTTAATCAAGTATAAATAGTACACCATGGGTGCCTATTTTCAACACACCTTTACTTTCTTTTATAGATCGAATTTATGCTCTAGTCTCCTATCTCCTCAAGTCTTCTTACTACTAGAGTTTTGGGTACAAGCCATTAGAGGCATCCATTCCTTTGGTGCTAGCTTTCCAAGATCTAGAAGAAGGATTCAACTTTGATTATTTGCAATAATAATCAAAAGGTATGTAACCCTAATTTTATGTATGAATTTCGATTTCATAGCCTCTCTCCTAAGGTTTTCATGATATTCATAGTTAGTTTCTATCAATAGAGAAAACATAGATCCTTTCTAGGTTGCATGTGAACTTAAGAGTTTAAGTGTTTTTCCACCTCATTTAATTTTTGTTTATAACCTAGAAAACCCATCAGTTGTATCAGAGCCATAGGTTTTCTATTTGATTATGTACTAAAATGAATTGATCAAAATAAGGATAAAGGATTGTTTAATTGGTAAATAATTATTTAATCTATGAAATTAAATTATTTAATTAAATGTTTAATTGGTAAATAATATGATTTAAATTTATTTAATTAATTGTTTAATTAAGATAAAAAATTAAATCATTATTTAGTTTAAAATTATTATTATTAATTGTTTAATTTGAAAAAGTTAAATTTAAACCCTCGTATTTTAAAAAGGTTTAAAATACGCCTTATATGATATATATGATTAAAAGTTTAATATATTATATGTATAAGATAAGTCAGTCAAATCGCTAGTACGCCTCATTCACGAAGCCATACTATAAGGAGGGGTATAAGGAAGCGGCCTATAAAATGACCGTTGAATGAGTGGCCACTCTCACCCACCACTCCTTTGTATGGTGGAGGGTCGTTAGACGAACGGTTTTGATAGGACATAACCTCTTCAAAGTATGATACTATATAGTAATTAAACAATTTATAAATCTCACTCTAGTTACTTTAGGAAAAATGTGAAATTGTATGCTAATCCATGAAAACACACATTGTTTCCTTATAAGTCATTAGTGGAGCATGTGTGGTTAACCGACACACTAATTTTGGGACTATAAAAGGTGAAATAGTGAAACAACTCATGTTTATGATTGTTGATGGAGCGTGTGTGGTTGACCGACACATCAATGCGAGATCATAAATCAATTGAGGGTGTTTGAGCGGGTTTATATGGTTATTTACATCTTAATTGTGATCCTCGGCATCCCAATCACAATTGCTAAGAGCATAATCGAGATTAAACATGTCATTGATAAGATTCAGTGAATGTCAAAAGATCTAGAAGTTTCATGTGATCGAAATTGGTGAGATGACTTTACCTACCTTAATAAATTCACAATTAGATTATATCATCCCTCTTCTTTGTTGTGAACTGTATTTTGGATCCTAGCCTTAAATATTTATTTTAGGTTAAAATATTAAGGATTTATATCACTAACTAAAACTGTCTCTTTAAAAGATGTCTGGAAACGGTGAACTTGTTGCTACTCAAGTCGGCTCCTCCCACTTAAACTTCTCTATGCTCTCTATTTTGTCAAAAAAGAAGCTCACTGGTCCCAACTACATGGATTGGATGAGGAACTTGAAGATGACTCTTCGGTATGAGGGCAAGGAATATGTCCTCGAAAAGCCTCTTGTCGAATTCGATGTATCCACCGCTACTCCTAAGGAGATTGCCTCATTCAACAAATATTTTGATGATGCCACAAAGGTTGCTTGTATCATGGTGGCCACTATGGCACCTGATTTGGCC